CCCCGCCCCACCTGTCTCCCTGACACGCACAACCCCCACCCATCCCATCCCCTCCCCCACCTCCCTTGCCTGCATCTTCCCAGCACTCTGGTGGACCCGCTCCTCCAGGCTCCTGCAGGACTGTCCCTCCCTGCTCCCGCCCTGCAGGCCAGGCTGTGATCACCGTGACTCCCCTGAGCCCCTGGGCCTCTGACCACGGCACCTGCTTGTCCCTCAATCTTCAAAGCCCTCTCTTGCTCCCACATTTATCTGGCATTTCCGGTTAAGCGGCACTGCCTCCAGGAAGACTTCCTTGACCACCCCACCCTGTGTCTCTGTAATCAGTTCTTGCCCAGGTCTCAACTGGACAGGACCCCATCAAAGATATGGCTACACTTATTCATTGGGGAGGTGGGGGAGGGGTCGGGACACAGCTGGAGATGCTCAGAACCACTCCTGGCTCTGCACTCAGGGATGACTCCTGGCAGTGCTCGGGGGACTATATGGGATGCCGGGAATTGAACCCAGGTCACTCGTGTGCGAGACAAACATCCTCCCGCTGTGCTCTTGCTCTGGCCTCCACTTACTCATGTTGGTGTCCCCAACTGGAGCGACAGAGCCGGGTGAGGGATGAAGCTATAGCAGAGACCTGGGGTTCAGCCCGGGGCTCACAGACTCCCGCCCTCTCCAAACGCTCTTGCTCTTATCTCTCGGCATACTTTGATTTGGGGCCATGGCAGGTGGGACCCCAGATGCAGGGTTCTACACGCGGAGCCCCTCCCCTCCCTTCAGAGTAGAGCCAGACACGCTCACGCTTTCAGGGGTGACCCAAGGTAGGGCCAGAGCCACAGCACAGTGGCTAGGGGACTTGCCTTGCACGCGGCCAACCTAGGTTCGATCCCCAGCATCCCATATAGTCCCCTGAGCACCACCAGGAGTGAATCCTGAGCACAGAGCCAGGAAAAAACCCTGAGCATCTCCAGGTGTGACCCAAAACAAACAACAAAAACGAGTGACCTAAGGCAGCCAAAGTGACAAAGAGGTCAGCTGTGAACGCCCCCTGGCCACACTGGACTCACAGGGGACTCACACTGGACTCCCGCTGGCAGGCTGAAGGTGACACTGGAAACTCCCCCTGCCCCTCCCTCCCCTTGCCCCTCCACCGCCTCTGAAGCCGGAGCTTGGACCCACAGATGTTTGCTTTAGACCCGGCTCTGCGCGTGCGCAGGACAGGGCTCGGCTGATTTGTGAGCACCATGGGGGTGGGTATCAACTCCCTGCTGTGCTCCTCTGCCCCCGTGTCAGGGGCGTCACCCCGAGGGGAGGGTGGCAATCAAAGGCTTAGTCCCAGCCCTCTCCGTAAACTGAACTACTGTCCCCGAGTTTTGACTCCGCTGGAGACAGTCCCTGGGGTCAGTGGGCCTCAGGAAATGGGGTCAGAAGGACCCCACCAACCATCATGGGCATCCTGGAGGGCTGCGCCTGCCTTGGGCCACTGGGAGGCCGTCCTGGGCAGCTCAGCAGGGGTGAAGGCCTCCCCTCGCCTGGGTCTGGGATGACAGGTGGACTCAGAAAGACCTACTGCTTTGCCCAAGCCACTTGCCACAGTGTCAGGGAGCACGGGAATGGGGCATGAGGGGGAGGAAGGGATAAGCACTAACCACCCTGGAGTGTGGCCCCCCTCAAACAAAAGTAAATTGAAAAGGGGACTTGAGAGATACCAGGAGTTAAGGGCCTTGCCCTGTGTGCAACCAACACCGGTTTGATCCCCGCCCCCCCCCCCCCCCCAGGTCTACCGAGCACCACCAGGAGTGATCCCTGAGCACAGAACCAGGAGGAAGCCCTGAGAGTCACTGGGTATGGCTCCCAAACCAAAAGCAATTTTTTAAAAGAGACTGAAGAGATAATACAGGGGTTAAGGCGCTCTCCTTGGCTGTGGCAGACCCAGTTTCAATTCCTGACACGACATTTGGACCCCTGAGTGCCGCCAGGAGTGATTCCTGAGCAGAGTCAGGAGTAAGCCCTGAGCACTGATGAATGTGGCCCAATTTCCCCCCACCCCCAAGAAATAAGGGGGCAGGGGGCAGCAAAGAAACCAGTTTTAGTTAACTTTGATCTCGTTTGTTTGAAACTTAAAAACATCCCCAATTCAGGAAACTCAAACAATGTGAATATTTTTTTCAGCTCTAAATTTAATGAAATCTAAATACAGATCAAGTGTTTGGGATAAAAATGTAGTATCTGAATTGAGCTGCAAGTGCAACATTCTCACACGATTCCAAAAGACAGAACAGCCCATCAGGAAGTTTCTATTCTAGTGGTTGCATTGCAATAGGGCTGGAGAGATTGTACAATGAGGAGGGCACTTGCCTTGTATGTGGTGGGCCTGGGTTCAATTCCCAGGGCCCCTGGTATGGTGCCCGAAGCCCACCAGGAGTGATTCCTGAATGCATAGCAGGAGTAAGCCCTGAACACAGCGGGTGAGCTATTACCCCCCCCCCCCCCAATAAATATAGAGTGGCTATGACAATAGTTTGGCATATGGAACTAAATGTGTTATTTTAAAAATTGAGGCGGAGTGTGATTGCTATAAGAGAATGTGCCTAGCGTGTGAGACTCGGAGCTCCATCCCCAGACCACCAGGCCACACCCGGGGCCAGCATTGCTGTTGGGGTGACCCAGGCAGGGCCCCTCCCCGCTGCCCCCAGCAGCCCTGGCTGTGGTCCCTGGAAAGAGCCAATATGTCTTGTTAATTTAATTCTGGTGTCCGAGTGACGCACAGCAGGAAGGGCTCTTGCCTTGCTGGGTGCCATCTCCAGCCCCCCATATAGTCCCCTGATGCCTGAGCATCACTGGCCCAAAAACAGAAAAAACAAAAACTGTCTCTTGTTAATTTTCTTTTTTGTTTTGGGGCTTACTTCTGGATCTACGCTCAGGGATCACGATCCCTATGCATTGGGATAGTCTTGGGGGACTATTTGGGGTGCCAGGGAATGAACCCGGGTCCACCACGTGCAAGGCCAGCGAGCGCCTTCCCCTCTGTGCTTGGGCTCCCAGCAATCCTTAATTTCCCTGATGCGCCTGGACGGAATTCAAGACTCCCGGTAAAGCGGGTAGGGCGTTTGCCTTGCACGCGGTCGACCCGGGTTGGATTCTCAGCATTCCATCTGGTCCCCGGAGCACTGCCAGGAATAATTCCTGAGTGCAGAGCTAGGAGTAACCTCTGTACATCGCCGGGTGTGACCCAAAAAGGAAAAAAAAAAAAAAAAAAAGACTTCGGGTCCTTGCCATTCCGTTTCTTCCCAACAGGTGGCGCCAGACCCCTCCCAGAGGTTTGACCTTGGGCGCTGGCCTGGCGCTTTGTCCTGCTTCCCTGCTGGCCTGTCCCTCCAGGGCCAGACCAGGAGCTGGGGGACAGAGGCTGAGACCCACCACGGCCGCCGTGGAGATGGCAGGGCGCTGGGAGCAGGAGCCTGGAGCTGGGGTGCAGATCCAGCCAAGATCTTGCCTAAGAGACTCCCCCTGCCCCCAGCCTGGCTCCGACCTTCCTCATCAGAGGAGAGAAGGAACTTGGGGGTCACAGATCAGGAACCCAGAGAACGAGGCCTGGTTCCCAGGACGAGGCCCAAGGACTGGGCTGAGGCGGGCGCCAAACCCTGCTTCCCACCCAATCAGGGGGAATTTCACTCTGGACAGCCATATGTGAGGACTTGGTGGGGTGGGGAAGCTAGGGAGGACTCCAGAAACAGTGCTCCCTCAGCGGGCCTCCTGTTCCCCCAGAGGTCAGAGTTTGGGGCGAACCAGGGTGTAACTCAGCTGGCGGTCACGGCCTGTGTTCCCACAGGGAAGGCAGCTGGAGGGTCTGACCCAGGCCTTGGGTCCTGAGGGGCACGTCGACGCTCCCTCATGGCTCTCTTTCCTTGAACCCCAGGCTTTTGGCAGGGCGGGGGCTGGGGTGGGAGGGATCGGGCTACCCAGGACCCAGGCCTCATTCCAGGTCTGTCTCAATCCTGACCCCTGAGGGGAGGGACTTTTGCAGGACTTGGGCACCCAACCTCTCCTCAGGACAAAGTGCAGTGCTTCCGCCTGGCTGGCTCCCCCCCTCCACCCCGCTGACTCCCCCTCCCCCCCAGGCAGGGGAACCGTGAGAACACAGCATGGGGGCTTCCAGCCTTGGCCAGGAGGGGATGGCTTGCACAGTCAGGGGCTCCTCTGGGCTGCGGGTCTTGGAGAGGTGAGAAACAACACATAAAGAGTCCCCTGAGCCTGTGAAGCTGAGAGCCAGGGCCACCCACCAGCCAGCCCATCCCAGAGGCTGCCACCTTTGTCCCCGCTCACCCCTGGGGGCCTCTGTTCGGACCCCTGCTCACCTCTGGGGACCCCTGTCCAGACTCCCACTCATCTCTGGGGGCCTCTGTCTGGAGCCCCGCTCACCCCTGGGGCTCTGTTCAGATGCCCACTTGCCCCTGGGTGCTCTATCCAGACCCCTGCTCAGTCCTGGGGTCATCTGTCCAGACCCTTGATCACCCTGGGGGCCTCCGTCTGGACCCCTGCTCACCCTGGGGGCATCTGTCCAGACCCTTGCTCACCCTGGGGGCCTCTGTCTGGACCTCGGCTTGCCCCTGGGGGTCCCTGCAGGACCCAGGTGAATGGGACCATCGGACGCTGTCTCTCTTAGCGCTGCAGTGCTATCAGTTTTTGCGACAGCAGCAGCTTACATCCAATTAGGGGTGGTGGCACACCCTGCGCCTGGTTGGTGCCCGGGTGCCTGCCTGGGCCCAGCTGGCGGTCTCTCCCAATGTCCCGCACTCAGGGCACTCAGGGATCACTCGCCACCTCCAGAGTCCCCGCTGCAGACCGCTTCACCCCAACACGTGCCTGAGTCTGCTGTTGGCCACGAATCGTTCCTCAGAGGGACGAGCTGAAGCACCTCGTTCCCATTCTGGGAGCGAGACTTAAAATCCGCCCCCCCCAAAAAAATTCCAGCAAATTAGAGATGACAGTACACCCCACGATTTCCCAGAAAACTAGCTTTTATTAGTCAGGGCTGTAACTCAGGAGTTGAGCAGACTTTGCCAGGGCGAGGCCCTGAGTTCGATCCTTGGCACCGCACCCAGCAAACACCATGCCAGCCTTTCCGTTTACCGTCTCCCAGGCCCCAAAGGCTGGCAGGAGATTCCACAGTTGAGCTTGGCATGTGGAGGGTCCCGCCTTGTAACTGGAAAAAGCTCCCTCCCTTTCTCCCGCCAAAAAAATAACACTCCCAACCAAATCATCCCCCAGAGAAACGGACAGAGTCCTGGAGTCATCTGTCCAGACCCCCAGGGTAGAAAATGCGGCAGCTTCTGAACTCCCCGACACTGGTGTCCTGAAAGCAGATGCCACAGCGATCCAGCTAGTTATTGCTGGCGGCGGCCGGCGGCCGTGGGTCGGGGAGGATCCCCGGATGCGTGGGCCAAGCTTGCATTATTCCAGGGATATCTGCTGCTAACACCCCCAAGGATGACTGCCACATGCTGTCCCCAAGAGGCCTGGAGACACACGGGACCAGGCTCCCCGGGAAAGCAGTAACAAGGCACTGAGCAGGGTGGGCCCATAAACTGCACCATCAGAGAAATCATGACCGCCAGATCTAGAGCCGCCCACCCCGCCCCCACAGTGCCCATCTGCATTCCTGGGGAATGAATGGGCTGATTTAGCGACTTCCCTTAGCCAGGGGCTGCTCTGCTGCGGCCCAGCCCCCGACCTCTCCAGGCGAGCAAGAAGGTGAGGTTGGGTGGGGTGCCCTCCCCTAGTGCGCAGATGTCCATTCTGGCTTGTAGGGGACCATCATCAGCCCCGTCTGACTCACGGTCGCCGGTCAAATGTGGCACCTCTGGGCTGAATTTGCTTTGACCCTGGGCTAGGGTCCGGAGCCGCTGCAAGTCCCGGCTCTCAGCTTCTTACTCCGGACCTGCCTTGTGCTGGGGCCGTGGGCAGACCTGGCACCTTCAGCGCGAGGAAGTGGGGGGCACTTTCTTCCCAGCTCGCCGCTCTCTGTGTCCTGGGCCTGGAGAGATGCCCAGGGCTGGCTCGGGCACCAGCGGCCTCGGGCACAGCAGGTTTTATTGGGGCTTGCTGGGAGCCAGGTTCCAAGAAGACGGTCCTTGGCTCTGGGAGCGTCTTCCAAGATGGGCAGGGAGAAGGGCAGGGCCCGCCAGAGGGGTCACGGTTAGCACTTTGGGTGGAACAATTCTGGGCTTGTTGGAGGCTGTTCTGTGCTCTGTGAGGTGCAGCCACAATGCCAGGAATTACTGCATCTTCTCCAATTCTAAGTGCCTTCTCCAACACACACAGTTACAGCACCTCTCCAACACACATGTGCTAGGTTACAGCACCACCCCCCCACACACACATACACACACACACACACACACACAGAGTTCTGGGGTGTGTTCGCCCCCTCGTGTGTTTAGGGCTCAGAGGCCAAGTGACATGCCAAAGTCTGCACCTCCAAATCTGGTGACTTCCGGTGAGGGGTTTTCTTCTGTTTTCCTTATGCAAACATGTCCGAGGTCCCACGGCACAGCACAGCCGGAGACACGAGGCACGGAGCGACATCCTGCCGATGCTTGGGGTCAGGGAGCGAGCAAGGAGGCCAGGGCTGATGCTTTCCTGGGCCCTGCCTGGCTGGCTGCTGTCAGGGTGCAGCCCCTCCACACAGGGGCCCGGGAGGCACAGCCGGCCCCCGGCTCCAGGCCAGCGCTGGCAGGTGGGGTCAGCTTCATCTTGGCTCTCCCGTGGGCTCCGTGGCCATGGCTCCTTCGCAGGCTTGGGAGCTTTTGGCGAGTTCGTCACAGTCTCCGTTGGGGATGATGGCAGTCAGGGCCAGCTCCTCCTCAGGGTCCCTGCAGTGACCTGGAAACGGCAAGGGAGTCACCGGGGAAAGCAGTTTAGGTGGGGGTGGGGAGTGGGAGGACACGGTAGGCAGGAGCCCTGGCGAGTTACAAACACCCACATCTACATCAAAATCTTTAAAAGTGCTGGGGCAGGTAAGGCCATGTCCATAGCTGACCCGGGTTTGATCTCCGGTATCTCATATGGTTTCCCGAGCACTGCCAGGAGTGATTCCTGAGTGCAGAGCCAGGAGAAATCCCTGAGCATCACCAGATGTGGCCCCAAAGCAAAACAAAAAATTAAATCAAAATGTTCCCAGACATTGCCAAATGTTTCTTGGGGGAACAAAAATCACACCCTGTACCCCACCCATAGCTGGAGTGATAGCACAGCGGTAGGGCGTTCGCCTTACAAGCGGCCAACATGGCCGACCCGAGTTCGATTCCTCCGCCCCTCTCGGAGAGCCCGGCAAGCTACCGAGAGTATTCGATATGCCAGACACAGTAACAACAAAGTCTCCAATGGAGACGTTACTGGGCCCGCTCGAGCAAATCGATGATCAACGGGAGGGCCTTTACCTTTACCTTTACCTTACCCCACCCACTAATCTGCCATTTAATATAAATAAGAAACTAGTTATGTAATTTTGAAAGTCAAATGTTTATCAGACTACATAGAAATATAGGTGAGGGGCCGAAGCAATAGGACAGTGAGGAGGGTGCTTGCCTTGCATGCAGATGACCCAGGTTCAATGCCCTGCATCCCATGTGGTCCTACAAGCACCATCAGGAGAGATTCCTGAGTGCAGAGCCAGGAATAACCTCTGAGCATCACCAAGTGTGACCCAAAATAAACAACAACAAAATTTTTTTCGTTTTTTTTCTTTTGCCTTTTTGGGTCATACCCAGCGATGCTCAGGGGTCACTCCTGGCTCTGCACTCAGGAATTACTCCTGGCGGTGCTTGGGGGACCATATGGGATGCTGGGAATCGAACCTGGGTCAGCCGCGTGCATGCCCTACCCATTGCGCTATCGCTCCGGCCCCACAAAATTTTTTGCAGGTATATCTTCCCTGCACCTGGGATTTCATTCTAAAGAAATAAGTAGGAGAAACGGGAGGGACAGTACAGGGGTGAGGGCACACGCCTTACTGACCCCATTGGATTCCCAGAACCACATGGTCTCCTGAGCATTGCGGGGGTTCACCTGGAAGCCCCAAACACCTCTGGTTGCGGTGTGCTGGAGGTCACTCTGCGTGGTGGCACCAGTGAATGTGATGGGTGATGTGGGCAGTGCCCTGGGGTGGGACTGACAGCCTCATGCATGCCTGCCCGGGGCTGATTGTGTCTAAGGGGTTCGAATCCCACAGAGGGATGGACCAACGAGAGCGTGGCTCAGCCCCAGGATGGGGGGGGGCAGATGTTCAAAATGATGGTGAGCCGCGTCTCTGGTTCAGGGGTGCAGCACCCCCAATACTGCCAAAGAAACTAGTCGGGAATCCCACAGACAGACGCACAAGCAGAAACGGAACAAGCTGGACAGAGCTGTGGAATCCTTCAGCGTCACACCCCACTGCAATGTAATCTGAGAGTTTTACAGGGTGTTGGCAGGGGCAGGCACAGCGTGCCCGGCTGTCTGTGCAGATTCATACAAGTGCACAGGAAGTGACAAGAACCTCGACAAAGGAAAAAATAAAAAGTCCTAGAAGATGCTGGCGGCAGAACATCTGGGCTGCGGAATATGGCAGTCACACAAAGTTATGGGTGAAGAAAGCAGATTCCAAAGTAGCATACAAAAATGCACACTGGGTGGGGGGGGTCGGGGGCGTATTACGGAGGGGAGGGTGCCTGCCTTGCACGCGGCCGACTGGAGCTCGATCCTCGCCATCCCATACCGGGTTCTGAGCACTGCCAGGAGTAACCCCTGAGCACTGCCTGGGTAGCAGCGTGCAATGAGCACAATGGCTAAACAACAACAACAACAACAAAAGACACACATGCTAACATACTGGCTGGGACAGGACCTTCCCTGTCCCCACAGTGCCACTCTCCAGACTTCTCTTCTCAGACAGTCACTCTTCCTGAGAGACTTAGATCTGGGGGCCCCGTCTGGTTCCAACTGTCCCCTCTACGTCGCCCCAACCGCTTTAATAATTTGAATAATTAGGGGATGACCCCTAATTATTTTTAATAATTAGGGGTATTTTTAATAATTAGGGGATGAACTTCCAAGTGGTACTCAGGAGGTAGGAGGCTACTGCTAGTTCGGGCCCAGCAGTGCTAGGGACCACCAGGGTGCCCAGCAGTGCTCAGTAAGTCGTGAGGTGCTGGGGACTGAACTCAGGTCCTTAAGCGTTCGAGTCAGGCACCTGACCCCTACACTATCCTCCGGCTGACCCACACTCAGGGGTTACTCCTAGCTCTGCAGTCAGAGATCACTCATCAGGGGACCATATGGGATGCCGGGATCGAACCCGGGTTAGTACATGCAAGGTAAGTGCTCCACCTGCTGTACTATTTCTCTAATCTCCACCTCACTTTTTTAGGGAGGGGTTGTTTTGGGGCTACACCTGGGTTTGCTCAGGGGCTACTCCTGGCTTTGGGCTCAGAAATCACTTCTGAAAGGGCTCGTGGGAGCATATGTGGTGCCAGGGATCAAACCCTGGTCAGCTGTATGCAACGTAAGTGTCCTAGTCACTGTTCTATCTCTCTGCTCTCCCCACAACCCTCTCTGCAGGGGCCCTGGTCTGAGTATGACCTCAGCACAGGAGGATTTGCTCAGGGAGTTTCCGCTCATGGTCATCCTGCTTCTCTTTTACAAAGCTTAACTTTGAGATAGTACAGCAGAAGGCACTTGCCTTGCAAGCCGCCCTCTGGCTTTGATCCCTGACACCACATAGCATTCCCCAATTCCCTCCATGAGTGATCCCTGAGCATAGCCATGTGTAATTCAAAAATTTTTTTGGGCCTGGAGCGATAGCACAGCGGGTAAGGCGTTTGCCTTGCACGCGGCCAACCCAGGTTCAATTTCCAGCATCCCAGATGGTCCCCCAAACACTGCTAGGAGTAATTCCTGAGTGCAAAACCAGGAGTAACCCCTGTACATCTCCGGGTGTGACCCAAAAAGCCAAAAAAAATTTTTTTTTAGAAAGGTCCAGAGATCAAAGAGACAGACAGGGTTAAGGCACTTTCCTTGCACACAGCCAATCCCAGTTCAATCCCTGACACCAACGGGTATGGTCCCCTAGCACCCCAAGGAATAAGAGCATCACTGCCAGATGTGGCATCAAACCAAAACAGACTAACCAACCAGATAAAAGTCCGGCAGTCCGGGGCAAACGGCGGCTGGACACTCTTACTCAGGTTGGGATGCTGCGAGGCGCCAGCATGTAAGTGGTAGAACCTGGACAAGCCCCGCCCACAAACCAGCCCCGCCCTCACCATAGCCCCGCCCACAGCGACAGTCCCGCCCTCGCCCATAGCCCCACCCACACAAGCAGCCCCACAGCCCCACCTTCGCCATGGCCCCGCCCACAAGACAATCCTGCCCTCGCTATAGGCCCGCCCATACAAATAGCCCCGCCCTCACCATAGCCCCACCCACACAAGCAGCCCCACAGCCCCACATTCGCCATGGCCCCGCCCACAAGACAGTCCCGTTCTTGCCATAGGCCCGACCACACAAACAGTCCCGCCCTCTCCCATGGCCCCGCCCACATAGAGAACCCAGCCCTCACCACCTTTAGGCGGGTCACTCTGGGCCTGGAGCTCTGCTATGTGTCCCGCAGCCTGGTGGCACCCCTCCCTTGGCATGGCTCTCCGGAGGGTGCATCCTGCAGGCTGAAGGCCACCGTCTTCACATGGCCGCCCCCCGTCACCCTTGGCTCCCAAGGGCCAGAAGCATGGCATACTCACCCTGCGCTGGCCCACCGGGAGAAGTGGCCTCTGCATCCTTCCGCCGGCTCCAGGGACCCCAGGCAAAGCACGCCAGCAGGGCCGGGAGGCCCCGTCTCTCCCAGGCTCCTTCTGCTGAAGAACAAAGTCCCAGAGGCAGCGGGTCAGAGGCGCCTGACATGACCGAGTTTCTGTTCAACCAACAGTATCAGCTGTGGACCACCCTCGTTTCCTCGCCCGATGGGAAACACACGGGCTCTGGTGCGTCAAGCAGTGTTCCTGTACTTCAACCCTGCCCCGAGGTCGCTTTATACCAGCAACCTCTCCATCCTCACAAGAAAACCTACCAGGACCCCCACCTGTGCCAGAAGCCACAGCAACAAAAAGAAGGACACAAAATGAATCGCAATCCCTGGGCAGCCTAGAAAATCCGCACAGAGCTGGTATTTCCTCTGAGTGTCCACTTCAGATGATTTCTTCACAGGGAGAGCTCATTTTTTTTATAATCATGCTCAGATTAGAAAAAATTATAAAATCTGAGCTATTGCCTGTTGATGCTATTTTCTTTTTTATAATTTGAGAACTGGGTCTCATTTGAGAGCCCAGACTCTCTGGATTGAAATCAACAGGAACAACCTTTAAAAACAAAAGGTCGCCAGGGTGCCAAGACACAGAAAATCCTTGCTGGCAAATCCTTACTGGAGCCTGTTGACTCTTTGTGCCCCATTCTGACCAGTCTGGAACCTTCATTTTCCAAAGCGAAGGCATCTGGGCTAGGCCCAGACTGGGCTCGGTGACAGGGCACTGCCTAGAAGGGGGGGAAACCCCAAGGCGTAAGAACAAGCTTCCAGGCCACGAGAAAAGAAACTGGGAAACTTTTGAAAGTCAGAAGCAACTGCTAGCAAAATCTTAGCAACCTGAATCCACTGGTTGTCAGGGCAGTGGTTCTGCCCACAGAATTCTGGGGATGAAGTTCCTAACACACCCTTGTCCTTCAGTCATTAGAAAATGGTTTCATGTCACTCAGCATGCTTTTATAAAAGTAGGAAAGAGTTCACAGTAGAGAATGCTTCCTCTGCAAAGGGGTAAAACTCCCTGTGTTCATGTTTCAAAGACACACACACACACACACACACACACACACACACACACACAGCATGCAGGGCAGGGTGTCAGGAAATGGCAGCAACACAGTGGGGATTAAACTCCTAAGGGAAGAGCACAACGTATATGGTAAGAGGTTGAGGCGGCAGCGGGGTGCGGGTTCTGGGGTCTCACTTTTGAACTGACTGGGGAGTTAGGGAAGACTTCCTGGAGGAGAAGGCCTGTCCTCGGTGACGGGATTGCTCAGAGGAAAGAAAGGGAGACAGAGATGATGTGTTAGAAAGTCTAGACGGCCAGTTAGGGCTGGGCTATGGGGAGCCCAAGGGTGTTCCTTGGGGACAAGAGTTTCCAATAACCAGAACTCAGAAATAAAAAACACTTGCTCAACAGCGGCAGACAATCTCCCGCCTTGGGGGCCAGGTTGGGGCAGGGCCCGGCAGTGACCAGGAGGACAGACAGTTCCTCTGGGCCGCCGCTGGAGTCTTTCAGGACTGTGAACTGTGGAGCGAATTTTAGATGCGGCGGCTTCCTCCCAGCCTCGGTCAAAAGGGGACGCAGCATGGGTGGAGGGTGTTCGGGCCGGCAGTGGAGCTGGGAAACAGGTGGGTCTGTGACATTCATGCCATCACAGGCTCTTGGAACCCTCCTGCCCCGCAGCCTGGCAACTGAAGTGTGGGTTAACACCCGGGGGGAGGGAGCATGGTCTGGTTACCCTTGGCAGGAAGGATTGGCAGAGGCCGGAGGAAAGGTTCTGTGTGTGTGTGTGTGTGTGTGTGTGTGTATGTGTGTGTAGGGGGTGTATGTGGTGTGTATGGGTGTGTGTGGTATGTGTGGGGTGTGTGTGAGGTGTGTATGCTGCTGTGTGTGTGTAGGGTTTGGGGCTGTTTGTGTGGTATGGGTGGGGTGTGTGATTGGTATGTGTGTGTGGAGTGTGGGGTGTGTGTGTATGTGTGGGGTGGAGGTGTGTATGGTGCATGTGGAGTGGTGTGGGGTTTGTGTATGTATGATGTATGTGGGATATGTGGGGGTGTATGTGTATGTGTATGTGTGGTGTGGGGTACGTATGTATAATGTTTGTGGGGTGTTGTGGGGTGTATGGGAGGTATGCGGTATGTGTGGGGGGTGTGTGTGGTGTGTGGGGGGGTATGTGGGATGTGGGGTGTGTATGTGTGGCATGTTTGGGGTGTGTGTGGTGTGTGTGTTATGTGGGATGTGTGTGGGGGGTGTGGGGTGTGTGTGGGATATGTGGGGCTGTATGTGCATGTGTGGTGTGGGGTACGTGTGTATGATGTTTGTGGGGTGGTATGGGGTGTGTATGTGGTGTGTGTGGTGTGTGTGGGGTATGTGTGGGGTGTGTGGGTGTGTGTGGTGTGTTGGGGGTGTGTATACAGTGTGTGGGAGTGTGCGTGTGGTGTGTGTGGGGTGTGTGGGGTGTGGGGTGTGCGTGGGGTAAGTGTGGGGTGTGTAAATAGTGCGTGGGGGTGTGTATGTAGTGTGTGTGTGTGGTGTGTGGAGGCTAAGTGTGGGGTGTGTGTGCGCCTGTGTGTGTGTTGCGGACAGAGGCCCCGGGAGCTGCGCAATCGCCCCTGCAGCTGTCGTTCTGCAATTCAGCGCCGGGCTCCAGTCCAGGGGGCTCCCGGGGGCACCTGTCGGACCCGCGGCGGGGCCGGAGGAGGGTCTGCGCGCAGGAAGGCGTGTGTGGGGGGGCCGGGGAGACCCTCCCCCGCTCCCGCAGAGCCGGCGGGCGCCGTCCCCTCCCCGCGCCCCGCGCCCCGCGCCCGACCGACCCGACGGCGCCCGGCGCGCGCGCCCCCCGCGGGCTCACCTGGTGGCGCGGGGCCCGCGGCCCGCAGCGCGCGGCAGGCGGCCGCCCGGACGGCCAGGCTGGCGGCGGGCTGGTCGGGGCGGTAGGCGGCCGCCTGCACCGGGCCCCCCGCCTGGCGCCCGAACACGGCGCGCAGCAGCGCCTCGAGCCGCCGCAGGCCCGCGTCGTCGGGCCCCGGCTCGGCCACCAGCACGGCCACCAGCGCGGCGCCCGCCCGCCGCCGCCCGCGCACGTCCCGCAGCATCTCCCGCACGCGGCGCCGCGGCTCGGGGGCGGCCAGCGACGCGGCGCGGCACAGCACGAAGACGAGCGGCGAGCGGATGGCGCGGCCCCCCGGCGCCCCCGGCGCCCCCGGCCCCGCGGGCCCCGCCGCCGCCGCCGCCTCGGCCGGGAGCACCGCGCGCGCGAAGTCCCGCAGCAGCGCGCGGCTCGGCTCGCGCTCCCACAGCTCGCCCACCAGCAGCACCTGCCCGCCGCCGCCCGCCGCCGCCAGCAGCGCCCCGAGCCGCCCGGCCTCCGCCTCGCGCTCCATGCCCGCCGCCCGGCCAGCCGCCCGCCCGGCCCGGCCCGGCCCGGCCGCAGGACACGCCCCCGGGCCGCGCGCCTGACCCCGCGGCCCGCGCCCGGCCCCTCCCAGGCGCTCCCCGCGCCGGACGCCGCCGCCGCCGCGCGGCCGCCCGCCCCCCGCCCCCCCAGCCCCCGCCCACGCTCCCCTTCGCCACCCACTCCGCCACCCGTACCCCGCAGTCCCTCCCTGCCCCTCAGGTCATTCGCCTGCCTCCTCACTCATCGGCCACGCGTCTGTCCGGCACGTCAGTCCGTCCACTCGTCCCTCCTTCTGTTCCTCAGTCCGCCCACCTGTCCGTTCAGCTGTCTGTCCATCTATCCGTCCACCCATTTATCCGGCTGTCCATCCATTCGTCTCTTCGTCCGCTGTCTGTTCATCCTTCCGTTCATCTGTTCATCCTACTATCCATCCACCCACTTATCCATCTGTCCATCCATCCATCCGTCTATACACTGTCCATCTATCCATTCACCTGTTCATCTATCTATCCATGCATCCATCCATTTATCCATCTGTCCACCCATCCATCCATCCGTCCACTGTCTGTCCATCCATTCATCTGTTCATCCATCCATCCATTTATCCATCTATCCTTCCATCCATCCATCCGTCCATTGTCTGTCCATCCATTCATCTGTTCATCTATCCATGCATCCATCCATTTATCCATCTGTCCATCCATCCATCCATCTGTCCACTGTCTGTCCATCCATTCATCTGTTCATCCATCCATCCATTTATCCATCTGTCCATCCATCCATCCATCCATTCGTCTGCTGTCTGTCCATCCATTCATCTCTTCATCCATCCATCCATCCATTTATCCATCTGTCCACCCATCCATCTGTCTGTCCACTGCCTGTCCGTCCATCCATCCGCCCATCCATCTGTTCTTCCATCTGTCCTGTCCATCTATCCACCCATTCACCAGCCATTTATTATCCATGCATCATCTATCTATTCATCCATCATCCATATCCATCCATCTGTATCCACCCAACCATATCCACCCATCTTCATCCGTATAGACCCATCCACATCCACCCATCTATATCCAACCATATCCACCCACCCAGAGTGATAGCATAGCTGTAGAACGTTTTGCCTTGCACACAGGCTGACCTGGGTTCAATTCCTCTGCCCCTCTCGGAGAGCCCGGCAAGCTACAAGAGTATTCCGCCCGCACGGCAAAACCTGGCAAGCTCCTTGTGATGTATTCAATATGCCAAAAACAGTAACAGGTCTCACAATGGAGACGTTACTGGTGCCCGCTCGAGAAAACTGATGAACAATGAGAGAACAGTGCTACAGTGCTATCCACCCACCCATCCATCTGCCCGACTACCCCACCCAAGCATCACCCACTGAGCTCCTTCTTGATGCAAAGGTGGAGAAAGACAGGCGAGGATGTGAGCAAGTATACCTTCTTTCTGAGATCTGGAGATGTTTCTTAGGGCTCCACATGGTTTTAGGACAGGAGTTATTGGGGGGCAGGACCCGCTCCTCCTACCTGGGCAGCTTTGGGGTGGTGTGAGAGGGGGTGAGACCCAGAGAGAGGGATGGCGGGAGACCAGAGGGAGATTTACAGGACATTTTTTGGTGTTTCTTAATTCATCTTTGGGGCCTTCAGAGTCGAACAACATCGAGTCGTTGAGGGCTCTTTATGTGAACAAACACTTCCTGCACTCACTACCCTGGTGGTTGGAAAGTGAAATCCTGGAGGCTGACCATATGGTTCCCTGTAGAGCAGACTCGGGGGGCACTGTCAGGAGCGCAGGTCCGGAGCAGGGATGTTTCCTTCTCTTCCCAGGGTTCCAGGCCAGCCTTGTCCAGCAGAAGGCCGGGCCCTGGCCGCTGTGCGTGCTGTCATCCGTGTTGTCCAAGGTGGGCAGCCCCGGCCACACATGCTGGTCCCGAGCACTTGCAGTCTGGCTAGCGCACCTGAGGAATTCACATTGTCATTTCCTCTATTCCCCAGTAAGTGCAAAGAGCCCCCATGGTTGGTTCATGGCCGGCAGACCCTGAGGAAGGGAAGTCAAAACTTGGAGGCGACTCCTGCAAGCCCTCCTTGGAGACAGTGGGTGGCCTCAGCATCAGCATCTGGGGTTTGTAAAGGCAGCGGCATGGGAGGGGGGAGACAGAGAAAACACCTCACTCCCGACCTGTCCTCCACCTCCCTGCATCTCTAGGTCACTGTTGGCCAACGCCACCCCTCTCCGCTGTCTTGAAGCAGCTGCAGCAGCTGACATCAGGCCGGAGGGGGCTCCGGACCACAGGACCCACAGCCACTATTCCAGCCACCAGCCCTGCTGCCCAGAGCAAAGGGCTAGGGCAGGAGAAGGGTGACCAGTGGCAGGGGGTGAGGGTGGGGGTGGAGGTTCACGGGAATCACCACATTCAGGCTGCAGGGCCCAGGGACCCCCCAGTCATTTCCCAGGTCCCAACACAAGGCAAAAACCACAGCTGTAGCTTTTAACCCCTTCCATGCCCCACTGCCAGTCAAGGCAGCAGTTGCTCAGGGAACCTGGGCTCGTAGATCATTAGACTGTGCCAAGTGCCAAGAAAAGCTAAATGAATCCACACAGCAATTCAGAGCCCCTGCGAGGGTTACTGACTGCAGGTAATGAGGGCACGAGCACGGGGTCAAGTTTCCCTGGTTTTGCAAAGATCTAGACAAAAAGTTTGTGATTGGTAAAATTTTTCCATGTCACTAACATGGAGCAATTCAAGATTCAGGTTTTGTTCCAATCACATGTCCCTAATCTTACATTATCTTATTACTGTTGTTGTTGTTAGTTTTTGTTTTTGCTTTTTTCAGTACCAGGGCTGGAGTGATAGCACAGTGGTAGGGTGTTTGCATTGCATGTGGCCCGCCCGGCCGATCGGGGTTCGATTCCTGCACCCCTCTCGGAGAGCCCGGCAAGCTAACAAGAGTATCTCGCCTGCACGGCAAAGCCTGGCAAGCTACCTGTGATGTATTCGATATGCCAAACACAGTAACAACAAGTCTCACAATGGAGTCGTTACTGGGCCCGCTCGAGCACAACGGGAGGACAGTGCTACAGTGCCGTGCTACCAGGGATCAAACTCAGAGCCTTACACATGCTAAGCAAGTGCTCTAGCACCAAGCTATACCCCAACCCTCCTAATCTCAGCTGCATGATCCAAACTGGCAACTAAACTCCAGCAATCACATCTGGGTTCCAGGCAGCTAGACAGCAGAGGGCTGAGGAAGGAGGAAAAGTGAGGATGACTTCAGTCTCCCTCGACCTCCATGTATTTATTTGTACCACACTCGGTGGCACTCAAGGGCCATTCAGGGTCATTCCTAGTGGTACTGAGGGTACCAGGTAGGGATTTTTTTGGGGTCACATCTGGTAATGCGGTAATGCTCAGAGGTTACTCCTGGCTCTTCACTCAGAGCCTGGCGGTGCTCCAGGGACCTTATGGGATGCTGGAGATCGAACCCAGGTCAACCGCATGCAAGGCAAATGCTCTACCCGCTGTACTGTCGCTTCAGCCCTGATGCACCCTCGCCCTTGAGTCACATCACTGTCCCTGACTTTAAGTTTCTTAACAGCAACACTGGATTTAAAGTGAGAGTTGGATGATATTTTTATTTATTTTGGTTTTGGGGCCACACCTGACGATGCTCAGGGCTTACTCCTGGCTCTGCACTCAGGAATTACTCCTGGTGGTGCTCGGGGACCATATGGGATGCTGGGAATCGAACTCGGGTCGGCCGCGTGCAAGGCAAATGTCCTACCCGCTGTCCTGTCACTCGGGCCCCTGAATGATATTTAAATATCCAAGAGAACTGGGGGCCTAGGCTTGGCTTCTAGCAGGCCCAGGAGCGGGGCTCGTCGGGGCTTCCCTGTCCCGCTCTCTCTTTGAGAACTGTAGCACTGTCCTCCCATTGTTCATCGATTTGCTTGAGCGGGCACCAGTAACGTCTCCATTGTGAGACTTGCTGTTACTGTTTTTGGCATATCGAATATGTCACGGGTAGCTTGCCAGTTGAGAACATCAGGAGGGAAGTACACTGCACTAAGAGAAATAAACATGGGTGTGTGCACACCAACGGGCTCCAGTCCCAGGATTAAAGCCCTTCTAGATTCTTTCTGTTTTTTGCTTTTCCTGGTATTTGGGCCACACCTGGCGGTGCACAGGCTTCTCTGGCTCTGCGTTCAGGGGTTGCTCCCGGGAGACTCAGGGAGAAATTTGGGGGTGCCAGAGATCGAACCCAGGTCTGCCACATGCAAGGCAAGTGACTTACCTGCTGTGCTATCTGTCTGCCCCCCTAACATGATTCTTATTTAAGTAAAAGGCTCCAAGCAGTGTCCATCAAATACCTACTGGCCTATGTGGGCATGGGCAGAGTCATAGGGGAACTGCTAGTGGGGGGATTGTTCTTACCCCCAATCCCACCCCATCCCTTTGAGGAAGTCAAAGCAGCACCAGGCCAAAGAGGGAGTCTCCACTTTGCTATTTTTTCTTCTTTTTTATTTTTCGGTCACACCCAGTGGTGCTCAGGGGTTACCCCTGCTTCTGCACTTAGGAATCACTCCTGGAGGTGTTGGGGGCACCAAACGGGATGCCGGGGATCGAACCTGGGTCTGCTGCGTGCAAGGCAAAAATGCCTTCCCCGCTGTCCTGCGGCTCTGGCCCCAGGTCAGGTATTTTTGTTCTTGCAGGTGGGAAAGCCACATGCGCACCTCCTGCCCTATTTATTCCCTAAGTCTCCATTCCCGGGTGACTTTTCCAAACTTTCCAAGCTGTGGGTTCCCAGAGGGGCGGGTGCTAAGAAGTCCGGAGTCCAGTCGGCTCAGTTTGTCTTTCCCAGTGCTATTTACATGGCAAAGATTCAGGTATTAGATTAACAGGAGAACACAAAGACCTTAGGGGAAGAAAAAGGGCAGAATGCCAAGAATATTTCTTCCTCCTCTCTGCCCAAGGCCTAGAAAATA